TGTGGTAGAGTCGTGGTATGAAGTTTTTGAAATCATTTTGGTATGAATGTTTTGAAATCAATCCCATACTCTTGGAGAAAACTAGGGGCTATTGGAAAAGAGGGCTTGGCTCCTTCTAAATATACTGAAACTTTTACCTATTTGTAATTAAATATATATAATTCTTCGACCGAAATGATTTTAATGAAATTTTTGTCCTAAAGTCCCTGTATAGTTTAGGTTCACAACGCGGTAGTGGCAATACTATTGAAAACAAGAGCCGCAAGGTGGCGCTGGAGTCGATTTGTTGCTAAAAATTGTCAAGTTAAGTCATTCGGAGACACCAGGGATCAAAATAAAATTACCACCGTTAAATCTACCACCAAAGCCATTGCGGTCTTTGCTTTACGGCGACTAAACAAAATAAAGACAAATCTTGATGAATGCCTACAAATTCAATTGTAAGTCATTTATGGTATATCGTCTGAAATAAGCGCCTATATAGACTGGATTTCTGTAGACCAATGATGTTCTCCAATTTTGAAATTGCTACCACCTTTTCTATATAGATTCCAGGACTATTCACCATCGAGCCGGATCATTGTTTCCGCAAGAACTTCTTCGCGGACATAACACTTTCGTTAGGTTACTTAAGAAGGCAATGGAGGGTGGGTATGCTTTCTGAAGACCACAAAACCAAACGTGAACGTGAATTGTGGTGAAAACGTTGTACCAAATGTTAGAATAAAGAAATAAATTTTGGGCGGGACGTAGTTCGCTGGGTCTGCTCGTTTATGGTCCGAGAGCGGACAATGGTTTTGGTTACACTATTTATAACCAGGCTAGAACTTTCATGCTCAGTCATTCCGCTATGGCGGCCCATTAAACCAACTGAAAGTCTGGCGACCCTCCAGGGGTGGCTTTGGCGCCAACAGGATAATTAAGGATGCAGAAAAACACATCCATTACGCTATTTTTTTTTTCCGTATCTGCGAAACGGAAAAACAATCACCAGACTGGTAGGGCGGTGGAAAGAGGATGGAAGACGCGCGAGGACTATTTACACTATAATAACTAGGAAAAAAAATTATAAATTATCATAGGGTGAATCCTCGGGAGGCTATATGTTTGAAGCCAGACGAAATTTTGGGTGGAAATGCCCTGCCAGACCCAAAAATGAGTGGCTATGCAGGCGCTCAAATCAACTTGTTTCTTACTAATTTTTAATATACTTTGTTGACGAAATGACTTAAAAGCAAGACGTTCGTAGGAAAATAAAGCAAAGTAAAACAATTTGAATAACAAAAACAGAACTTTCCTTTTTAGTGCTCCCACATCGTCAGCGTTGCACAAAATAACAATACGCTTTGCACTAACTACAGCTACAACCACATCTACATACATGTACATACTTACACACTGCCAACAGGCTGTCGAGTGCATACAAAGTGAAATGTTGTGATTCTATAGTGTAAAGAAGTTTAGAGTAGTGGGTGGGCCTCAACAAAAGATGCGGCGGCAGTGTTGCTAGCCAGACAAAAAAATAGCGAAAAAATAAAAAATAAATGCTTCGTCGCCTCATAATAAGTAAGAACTCATAAAATGTACTTGGAACACTTAAGCCACAGCAGCAACAACATGTCAATGCAATCACTCAAAGAAAAATATTATTGTACATCTCAACTCTTTGTCAGCAGAAAGCAGCAGATGCATTATGATAGCGCCATACATACATATGTATATGCAATACTCCTATATTGGCAGTAAGGGCTAGTATCGTCCGAAAACAGTACAGTACAGATATATCAATAAACACGTACAAAAGAAAGGGAACACTTACGTTTATAAATAAACACCCCGAAAAAAAATTTGCGACTAATCTCTAAAGAGAGTATTCCGAGATTATTCTAAATCGGGTACAATTGGGCATAAATTAGTCGCAACTAATCTCATACGGGTACTATTGGAGAACAATTAGTCCGAGGCCACGCGCTGAGCAGCTGAGCGGCTGAAGTAGTCACGCACTGATATGGCGTATGAGTAACATTATTTCCCCGCTCCTATTTCATACAAAATATTATTGCATAGCGACCGCGACATCGTTTGGAACACATTAAGTCCATTTTACTCGTCGAAGCCAAATATAGCTGAGTGGCAAAGGATAGCGGAAGATTTAAAAAAAATATTTGGAATCTACCAAACTGTGTTGGAGCCATATCGATGGCAAACATATTGCAATTACATGTCCAGCACATTTCGGGTCCAACTTCTATAATTATAAAGGTACACACTAAAATGTTTGACGTTCATTAATTGATATAAATTTTTTTTAATTTTTCTCAGGAACGTACAGTATCGTTTCGTTCGCTAGGTATTTGCGATGCGAATTATACATTTACAGCCGTGGATGTCGATGCTTATGGCAGTCAAAGCAATGGAGGAATTTTAACATTTGACTGCTATTTAATCAGCAGCTAGATTTACCGATACAAAGGCCACTGCACTGAATATCAATACCTCCTTCCCCTATAATTTTGTTGGAGATGCAGCTCCTCCTTTAAAATTATATCTGATGAAGCCGTTTCCTGGTGTGCTGTTGGACGAAAGGCGGGAATGTTTTATCAAAAGATTGTCGGGAGTCCGTAGAACTATTGAGAACGCATTCGGTATTTTGACTGCCAGATGGAGAATTTTACGCGGAAAGCGAAATGTGGCACCAGAGACTGCTATTGCCCACATGGCTTCGTTGATCATGAATGCAATGGAGAATTAGTCGAAGGACTTTGGCGAAGAGAGGTTAATCCATTGAGAAATGTTTCATGGTTATATTCAGACTATGCAGCCAGATCTGCATACCAACTACGCGACACCTTAAAAGAATATGTATTCGCAAATAAAATAAAAATAAAAATATAATTTTTAATATGAATTCAGTAACACTTCGGTTCTTTCATTTCTTAAAAATAAACCACATTTCAATTTGGTGAACTTAATACTAATTAACCAAAAATAATGAAAAGTGTAAAAGCAAAAATAGTACACTTCTTAAAAATCAATCATATTTCAATTCAGAAAAATAAAAATTCAATTAAGTATAAAACTAAAACTAAATAAATTCATTCAGGTCACAAATTACTTTCTTTTTTTTTTAATAAATGATTCAAAAGATGTTTTTTGATTCTTCACGCTCGTTCTGTGCGAGTTCATTTAATTTTTCATCGACAAGTTTTGTAACCACCTCTTTCATGGAATCCATGAAATGAAGTGAGGTGTTCGCTGACCTCTTGATTGTCGCGCTTTCGTTTGTTTGTAGTTGCGCTCGACCTTGAGTCCTCCACAAGCTCTGTCGTCAAATTGCCTAAAACATACTCTATAGAGCCATCATTGGATGGTCCAGGCAGTGACGTACTTCTTTCTTCTTGCTGCAGTGTAAAAAATTCCTCCGGCTGCAGTACACTTAATTCCTCAGACTCCGATATACTGACCGCTTGACCCCGAGGTATGCTGGTTGAAATAAATAAAAACGTAAACATATTGCTCTACAAATTAATTAAAGTGTCGTACATTGTTGGCTTGACATGTTCCCTTAAAAATTCTAAATGGTTAAAGAGCGCCCACTCATTATCAGGGTCAGTAGCTGCACTGCCAGAGGCAAACTTTTGTTTAGTGCACTCCCGCACAAACCGATATCTTAAGGTCCGCCATCTCGACTGACATTCAGGTTCTGTAAATAAAGTCGTATAAAACAAGCAAATATAGAAAATAAACAAATGTTTTTCTCACCAGGTACTTACTTCCATTTTAGTGCTTATAGCACTACCACGCCAGCGCTCGCTTAAGTTTATTGCGATAATCCGCTTCCTTTTTGCTGTATAAATTTTAAACTGACGCGCCTTATTTATTAATTTTTCGTCATTCATTATCTGCAAAATTTATGTAAATATGATAAACACATTTATATGATAAATAGCAAAAAGCATGCAGATAAAATTCATGCAAAAGCGCTATGTTCAATATGCCTAGCAGTTATTAAAGACGATGCTTTTCCTATATTTTGTTAGATTCTTCATAAGTAAAAAAAAATATTTGGTGAATATTACTTTCTTCATATGAATTATATCACATTTTTTGTTTAATTCAAGGCCTATCAAACAGGTTTAGAGCATTTGAGCAAAAAAACAACATTTGCCTTGATTTGCCTGTATTTTGTTGTTGCTTTTGGTATCGAAAATGTCAAAATCTGTTCTGATTTTTTTCTTCTATATCAAAGCGTGCCATGTGAAATACAAAATAGATAAAAAAATTTACATTGAAAAAATGAAAACTGTTACAACTTTCTTTCTTAGTAAATTGGTTTGCTTCTCGAAGCATTGATCCACCCCGTGCCAGGCCCAGTAATCAGCGGTTGTGCTGCTGAGTTGGGCGAGCGTTCCAAAAGCTGCAATTCAATCGCTGGTTTTGTATGGAAAAAGGTTTCGCATGCAAATAGATTGTAACAATTTCGAATTTTTGTGAGAAAAAATTAAAAATATTTTACGTTTTCGAGAACAAATAATTTAGAAAAAAAATCACTTACTTTTATTTTTCAAAAATGACTAGTCGCTTTTTATGCCCGTTCGGGTATAAAGGGGAACAATTAATCTCTTCTTAGGACATGCTCGAACAAAAACGAAAAGTTCATTCCATAAAGAGATCAAAAGTGGTATTAGTCGAATGTTCCTTTGTGATTGCTCCATTCTTTTGGAGGACACCCAGCAAAAGCTTTAATTCTTTGGTAAGCGCTTACCTTTTGAATCGATGGAGTAACGCATTACAATTCGCCGCAGGACAAAATTTTTCACTTTCTCGTTTAATCGCTACATTACCGAATTAGGGCGCTTAACGCCATGCGGGTGCACTAGTATTACAATAATAGCTTGACAAAATGTCACAAAACGTTGTTTTTGTGTGTATGTATGTATGTACTAGAAAATCCTAGTAATCGGTTTGGAAAGTTATTTCTTTGTTGAAAATTAAGGATATGTTAAGCGAAAAATGTAAAATCTTATCTTAAGGTCAATGGATATGCGTTCCTAATTACAGCAAGACATTTATTTCAATTTTGGTTTATCAATTACTTTGATGAAGGCCTGCTGAAAACTCGAATTCTAAATCTAGTTTCGTCTAGTATTTGAGGCTCACTTGATCTATGAATTTAAGCTCTTAAATGAGCTCATTATGAGTGTAAATGTTTCGATATTCCTTTAAGACGATGTACGAGATAAGTTTTTATTTTTGTATCTGAGTTTGAAGTACAAATTATGCTTTTCTCTCTTAAAGTTAGCTATAACAGAGAGCTTTAATATTTATGGCAATACACATTTCGTATGAATAGATTTATTGCGCCTTTCATCCGGTTAGACAAAGCCAGAGGTGAATTGATTGGTATAGAGAGAAGACACAATGAGTTAATTCGAGAGCACAGTCTCGATTTGCTTAACTGCGTCACGAACTGCAGAAATTTTACCTCCTCCAGTATGTAGAGCACAGAGCATTAGGGACACGAATTTCGATACGATACGATATCATGTCGATACTTTTGGCATTCGATACCGATATTTTCTACTTGATAGTTTTAAAACGATATTTTTTGGAGTCGAGTACCAGAACCCTAGTATCGTATCGAATGTCATAAACTCACATTACAAGGATAATGTTAAAGCGATAATTTCGGTTCGATATCGTGTGCCTACAAAGCATTGCTCCTTCTTTAATTCACTTTAGTTTAGGTTTGACTTCAAAAATGCCCGCCAGCCGCTTCTTACTTCCCAAGTCTGCTGTATACTCAATAGGGCGGGTCGAAAATCTAATTTTCTCAAATCCCTTGGTAATAGTGAAAATATATTGTATCATGCAGTCAACAACACGCCTGCAAAATATTAGGTTTTTTATTTTATTTGTAAGAGCCCGCGCATCGTCCGCTAAGTGACCCACAGCACACTAGTCGAATAAGACCAATTATTGTTAAAAATTCTGGGTTCAGTAAAAAGGGTTGGTGCATATTATTAGATAATGAATCCGTTAACGCAAAAGGTAAAGTCAAATATCATTTCTCGCAGCACTTTAGCTTATCGTTAATCTCAAACTTATCTATTTTCAAGAAAATTTTAATAGTTCTCTTGAAAATTGCACCGGCCTATAGTCAAAAGATGTAAAGAACAGTATTAATACTGCTGGCGTGCATTTAGGTCGCTGGTTCCAAATATTCTAATCTTTGTTTAATATTAGCTCTAGTTTACGAATTTTTGCAAATATAGGAACAGTTTCGGTAGCTCTAATAAAAAAGCCATTATTTTCCATCATCGTAGAAAAATTTGGTTTATGAAAATGTGTATGGAGACACTGAACAGGCACAACTTCTAGAAACACTAATAAGTTTACTTATGTTTATCCATACAATATAAAAATTGCAAATATAGGAAAATTACAAAAAATTGTGTTCAACATTTTTTTTTTAATAATTTGTTTATAATCTGAACGATTTTCATCATATTATTATAATAAATCAGTAACAGTAAGTCTCGCATTCAATTTGGTAATTACTACGTGCCGATCGAGTAACATTTACCAAAGTTATATCGAAAGACTTAAGCGGATCTCCAGTTTTTTTCTAACTAAATTTCTCTTCAATTGTATAAATAACTTTTAAATGAAAGAACCGGATTACAGAAAAGTATGTCAGGGAGTGACTTTTTTCGTTGAAGCTGAATGCGAAGCAATATCGTCCAGTTGAAGAGTGCTCAAAAGGATTTCCCAGGATATGATAAAGACTATTGCATTTACCTACAGTCACTTTTTCACATAATAGAATTACCTTGAATATTTATGGATATCTAAACACTTATTGCTCGTCCCCTACTTTCATATAACGGCAAATTTAGAAACCGCGAAAAATGTGCTTCTTCGGTGACTAATGAAACCATTCCGCACCAATTTTCAAGACAGTATAAATATACTTAAAATGGGCGTTTATCACCCTAATTGTATTATGTTAATGTTTGTAAATACTTATATGCTTGAAACTACTAATAACTTATCACACGATTCCTAATCTTTGACAATACATGTCTGACTTCATTCACCACGATCTTGAAAACTGACCAAATTGGCGTGACCATACTCATGACCCTCTTAATATTAAATAAACATCCGAAGACATTAAAACGTTTGAAATAAATCGCGTCTCACTTTTTTGCATTTTTCACTTGGTGGCTGAAGTAATGAAGAATTGAAAATTCATAAGGGAAAATTATAGCTTTGTAAGTTTTATCTTAATATCTTAAAAACTTGTAGAGATGTTGAAAAATGATAAATGAACGTGAGGTACTAAATTTAATAACCCTTAATTTGATATATCGTCCTGTTTATAACAATTGACGCATTCAATAGATATTGCAAGCCAAAGTTTCATTTTCAAAATTCATACACTTTGATTGAATTGCGCGGGCTAAAGATAAGTTTTAAATTAATCTTTCGTGACCAATAACAATTGGCTTAGATATAAGACATCATAATATTACTATTACAATACGGTCAAATGCATTTTATTTTCCCCCATACAAAATCGACCCAGCCTAATACTCAAGCTGTCGAGTAATTTGGCAAAGAAGTTCTACCTATTATCTATGCTCAGAAGTTGTCATTACTTTTTAAATTGTCCTTACTTTTTAAATTTGCAGGTTTTGTGTAGAAATACTTGATATATATGTACATATGTCTGTCAAAGATTTTATTAAACTTTGCAGTTTTTCACGAGTATGGCGAATCTCACACAATGTCCGCGGGACGTTTTCTAGCAAACTGGTTAACAGATCAGCGGCATTTGGCAAAATCTGCAGTGTTATTCTCGA